TGGAATTGAGGAGAAACTTCCTGAGGACAATTAACCAGTGGAACAGCTTGCCACCAGAAATCGTAGCCGCTCCATCCCTGGAGGTTTTTAAGAAGAGTCTGGACAGCCACTTGTCTGAAATGGGATAGGGTCTCCTGCTCGAGCAGGTGGGGGGGATGGCTGGACTAGAAGACCTCCGAGGTCCCTTCCAGCTCATTCTATTCTAAATTATAGAAAGAAAAAGTGGTCTCAACGGCTTGGAAGGAAGGGAGAGCGCTGTGATGCAAAGAGCATGAGGCCAGTGGTGGGAGGAACACATTTAATCTGCCCACGAGTCAGCCTTCAGGATGAGGCCGGTCCAGAGTCAGCAGTAACATTCAGACAAACATCCCAGAGCTTAACAATGCAGAGCAGCTATTATGGGATGCCTTGCGCAAGGGCTTCCTTTTTGCAATGCTTTCGCTGACATCAGTGGGTTAGCGTGGCGCTCGGAGGGGGTGCAGACACAGCAAGGTGGGGAGGGGAGGATGGCGGGTGCTTCCTGCCCTCCCCCTCCCCAGGGGCAGCTCCTCATGTCAGGCTTAGCTGCCGATTCAGCTGCAACCCAGGCGGGGCCAAGCCGGAATCGTCCTTTCTTCCTTTCATGTCAAACTTACAACTGGGGTTTATTTTTAGGAGCAGGGAAAAAAAAAAAAAAAAGGAGATAACAGGAGCCAGGAAACGGTTGTGACTAAAAAAGAAAAAGGCAGTCCCTGTTGGAGTTTGGGAAATAGGAACAGCGGGCTGGACTAGAAGACCTCCGAGGTCCCTTCCAGCTCATTCTGTTCTAAATTCTAAATTATGGATTGTGGAACAGTGGGGGGGCTGGCATTGCCACCCAGCTCGGCGGTCCCCCCCCCCCCGCCCTCCCTGAAAAGTCAGTACAGGTATTTGTACACAATACTGGAAAAATGAAGATATCCCGCGAGATGAAGAGATAGTCAGGAAGAGGAGGGGGCTGCTGGGGGTCTGCAGGGGTTCAGGAGAGCCCCTATTTAAGATTCTGTGCAGTTCAAAGAACCCCCAAATCCCACTCCTGGCTGGCCCACCTACCCGTCCCCTCCCAGGAATCTCCACATGCCCGTTTTGGATGCAGGTCAGTGCAGGGTGCGAGCAGAGACTCAGGAAGGGCAAAAAATGGGCCTCCCAGAAGTTCGGGAAGGCCAGAAACGGGCCTGTTTCTGGCCTCCAGGGAGTCTCCGGCGCCCACAGAGGCCATTTTCGGCTTCCCAGAGGCTTGAGGAAAGCCTCCGGAGCCCGGGAAGAGCCAAAACGTCCCCCCTCCCACCATGGTGCAGGAGGCCGACTAGGCCACGCCCACCCCGGCCACGCCCACCCAGCATCTGGGCAGAGAACTCTTTGCAGAAATTTTTGAAGCCCAACCCTGGTCAGGAAAGAGATTAGATTGTGCCGAAATGGATAGATTGACCTTGAAAATTAAACTGAAAGAAGAGGTAGAATATTATCAAACATGGGATTTATTTTACCAATGGTTTGGAAAAAGAGGTGGTGGAGATTAAGAATGCAAATTTGTATTGTTAAGCAAACTACATACCCAGACAACGCAATGTTTATGAAACGCCAAGAAATGTATTTAATAGAAAATCATTTATGACGGTTGCAGGATCTCGGGATCATGCGATCCCCTTTTGCGACCTTCTGCCAAGGAAAGTTGAGGGGAGAGGCCGGATTCACTTAACAACGGTGCCACTCAATGAAGCACTGCAGTGATTCGCTGAACAATTTTCTTTTTAATAATTATTTTTTCTTATATGTATCCATGTATTCATAACTATGTTTTTACTTATACCTATTATCTTGTAAGCAATTGACAAGCCCAATAAATAAATAAAAATAAAATAAACAATTGTGGCAGGAAAGGTTGTAACATGGGGCAAAACTCTCTTAATACGTGTCTCACTTAGCGACGTAAATTTTGGGTTCGATTGTAGTCGTACGTTGAGGACTACCTGTACAGCTGGAGATTATTTTTGGTAGCAAAAAGAGAGAGAGAAGATAACAGGAGCCAGGAAACGGTTGTGGATAAAAAGGCAGTCGCCGCTGGAGTTTGGGAAATTGCAGCGGTTCCCTTGGTGAACTCCTCAGTTCGTTTGTCCCCGCACCTATGCTGATGCTTCCCTTGATAACATATGGTGTATTTTCTGTGCATTTGTATTTATATTCAATGTGTCCATAAACATTTTGTACGCTTGTATATGTTCACGTATGTGCAGTCACACTTATCTTTGTGTGCTCGTGTACATACATTTTGTTGTATTGGCATATTCATAGATGCCTTGCATATTTGCATACATATATTTATATTTTATTGTTGTTATGCACTTCTGGTTGGATGCTAACTGCATTTCGTTGCCTGTATCCATGGCAATGACAATAAAGCTGAATCTAATCTAATCTAATCTAATCTAAATTACAGATTGTGAGACAGTGGGGAGGCTGGCATTGCAACCCTGCCCAGGCCCTCCATTGCCCGGTCAGAGATACGGTGGGAAGATATTTTGGCCAGCAGGAATGACCCACCTTCAGGGGTGAGATGCTACCAGTTCAGACCGGTTCTATAGAACCGGTAGCTCTGAGGAGCAGCAGATACCGAAGCAACGACCTTTGGGTCATTTGTTTGGCCCATCTGCCTGCCCGGGCTCTTGGCTGTCCTTTTTTTCCTGCTTTTTCAACCTCAGCTGCTTTGCGCGGCACAGCTAAGGTTGAAAAAGCAGGAAAGAAGAGGATTTTCAAATGCTGCGCATGTGCACACAGGTGGAGCAGGTTGAGCAGCACGAGTGAGTCCCTCTAGATGTGGCAAAAATAGACCTAACTGGGCATCCAGCACCCTGTAAGCTTCCGCTTCCTCTATACTCTTTATGTGCATGACTGCATTCCCAGTAATACTATTAGTAATAATACTATTGCTAAATTTGCAGATGATACAACAATGGTGGGACTCATCTCCAGGTGGGATGAGTATGCCTACCGAGATGAGGTGGACCGATGGTTGCTTTTGTGGTGTGGAGACAATAACTTGGTCCTCAACACCAATAAGACCAAGCAGCTGATAGTGGACGATATAGAAGGAACAGATCAGACCTCCAGCCCTTGCTTATCAGTGGAGACCGAGGGGAGCAAGTGGCCGGTTTTAAGTTTCTGGGTGTTACCCTAAAAGAGGACCTGATGGGGGGGGGGGGGGGCAAATTGCAGCCCTGGTCAAAAGGGCCCAGCAGAGATTATACAACCTGGGGCTTCTCAGAAAACAACAACGGAATGAAAAACTGCTGGTGACCTTCTCCCGCTGCACCATAGAGACCATTGTAACATACTGCACCTCTGTATGGTTTGCCAATTGCACAGTGGCAGATAGGATAGCACTCCAGAGGGTTAATGCCTTTGCCCAGAGGATCATGGGTTGCCCTCTCCCCTCTTTGGAAGAGCTTTAGAGCTCCCGCTGCCTTAAGAAAGTTCAAAACATCCTCAAAGATCCATCTCATCCTGGGAACCCTTTTTTCAAACTATGACCATCTGGCAGACAGTACAGGATAATAAAAACAAGGACAAATAGGCTGAAAAACAGCTTCTATCCCAGGACAGTAGCTCTGTTGAATTCTACTGTATATAGTGCAATATGGATGCAATGTCAGCGGTTTTCAATTTAATGTATAAAATGTGAAGGAAGTGTATTTGTGTTTATTTTCACAGTCATGACGTGCGCTGAAGATGGGTGTTTGATTTCGTTGTACGAGATGCGATGACAATAAAGTAAACTAAACTAAACTCAGGACAGGCACAGTAAAAAGACGCATGCTTTCATTTGTTCCATATACCAATATGTCGGGTAGGGGCAGGGAAACATATTCCCTCCCCTGCAGTACTTTTACTGCATTCAGCAGCAAAAAATTGTCTTTTCACATTTGACCTGTCTGCATTCTCTTTATTTGCACCGATTGCAATTAAAAAAAAAAAAGTCCAGGATAATCATACTGGAATGGCTGAACCAGGTAATTAGGCAGGGATGTCAACATGAAGAAACTTGTGGTACGTGTAGGCTCCTGCGCATGCCAGCTCTTGGGGTTTAATTAACCACCCAAGTCAAATTAGTAGGCATGTAAGTTCTCCTGCGTTCACTGAGGAGCCGAGATTCCCACTTCTTATCGGCAAGTGCCTAACTGGGATGCACAAACATTTTGGGCTTCTCTGAGGTGGTGCGAGGAGAGAGCGAGCGAGGAGCTGGGAGAAGCCACGGGGGAGAAAATTCCACAAAGTCTTTTAAAGCTTTGCTCCTTGGAACCGGTGTCTTCAGAGGCTCCCAAATTCCTGCTTTGCGTTGTGGCAGAGCAAGGAGAAGAATTGAGAAGGTCCTTCTAAGTTATTCTGGTCAGGTAGAATAAGGAAGGCAACTTTAGAGGCTGGCTTGAATGGTAGGTGTGCAAGTCTTTTTCTCTTCTTTAAAAAAAGCAAAAAAAAAACCAACAACGACACCCTTCCGTCTTCTCTTTTGTTCTTGGATTTAGCCGTGGGAGCTTCTCTCTTATGAATTACAGAGCTGAAGCGCCCGCTGAGTTAAATGCTAGACTGTTCCATTCCTCCACACTCATATACCCGCCGCCTATGATTCTCCTGAATGGTTGAGTCGGGAGGGGAGCAGGGGGGGGGGGGGGGGTGGGAGGAGGGGGGGGGGGGGGGGGGGGGGTTGTGGGGGTGGGGGGGGCACCCAGACGAGCACGAGAGAGATGTCACCCTCTCTAATCTATCTGTCATTTCTATATTTCAGCGCCCAGGCAGAAAAAAAAGCCGCTTCTGACTAGAACAATGCCGGAGGGCAGGCAAGGTGGCACGGCAGCCCCAGTCTGAGAACAGGTGAACAGCGGCGAAGCGGAGGGCAGGGCGAGGAGGTTGGCGCTGCCCTAGACGCTGCCCTAGAGGAAGCCAGCTCTGGGGAGGGAGAGAGAGAGAGAGAGAGAGAGAGAAAAAAAGAGGCGTGGAAGAGGCGAACCCTTGGCAGCTTCGGGCGGCTGAGCCATGGCTACCAATTTCAGTGACATCGTCAAGCAAGGCTATGTGAAGATGAAGAGCAGGAAACTTGGGGTAAGTGGCAGCCGGTCTGGCAGGGTTTTTCTCTCTCTCTCCGTGGGCAGGTCGGAGGGGGTCTCGGGGGAGATGCTGGCAGGGGCGAAGGGCAAGGGGAGGGAGGGAGGGGGAGAGAGAGGGAGCCACTGCTTTTGTGCAGAAGAATTTACACGGGGGAAGGGGGCTGGGAGCAGCCTTTGATTCTCAGAGCCTCCTTCTTAGACAGACCCTCATCTCCTCCCCCTCCCCGCCGCCCAGTCTGCCAGATGTTGGGGTGGGGGGGGAGGTGGCTGGAATTGGGGTGGGGGTGGGAAATCCCTCCTGGCATTGCTGCATAAAAGGCTGAGCATCTCAGGCACGCTAGCATCTCCGTGGGGGAGAGATGCAGACGGCTGATTGGCACAGCTCCGTTTTTCTTTTCTTTTTTCTTTTGTAACGCTTTTTAATGGAGGATCTCTCGGCGTGTGGTTGTATCTGTCTGTCCCTCTGTGTGTGTGTCTGTGTGTATTTTGCCAAGCCTGAATAAATCCACTTGGGCTCTAGGGAAGGGTTTTGAATGGCCTGGCGTTGTAGCAATTGCTTTCCTCCCCCCCCACACCCCTCCCCCCGGGATGCCAAAAAATGCTTGACCGGAACAGCTGATGCCAGTGTAAGCAAATCTTTTCGATTGTGTGGCTCAGAGGAAATTGGTAGCAGGCTAATTATTTTATTATCTCTGGCTGGGGGAGGGGTGTCTGTCCCCCTCCCCCCCAGATATTTTTGATAAAAGAAATGCCTTTGCGGGGGGGGGGGGGCTCTCCGGTTCTAAACTGCTTTCCTGTGCTTTTGAAAAGGGTGGAGCGAGGTTTGTGCAGAAATGCAAAAGATTTAAATAGAAACAGAGCGGCTGCTCTCCCTTCTCTGAAGGGAGCGGCATTCTTGAGTTACAGATGTTGCCTTTCAATAAAACCAGAAAAGGTGTTCCTTTGGGTTGGTGGCCACCATTGACTAATAACACCAGCTGTCCTCTTACAGCAGCTGCCTCTGGGCAAATCCTTCGGGATGCCGGTCCAAAGCCCAGCAAGATTGCTTCCCCATCTGGGTTCTTGCTAAATGACTCTAGACCCGGACTTGGGAGCCCCTTAGCTGCCCCTGGCATCCAGCAACATCTTTAGTGGAAGCCAACACCTCCCTTTCTCATTCTTAACCGAGTCCGTTCTTAACCGTTATTTTCTCCGCCGTGAAAAAAAAAAAAAAGCAATCCACATTTTTTTTCCCCTTTGCAATAAATATTTCATACCGCCTTCAATCTGTCCCCAGTATTCAAAATGGTTCGAGGTTTCAAAAAGATAACAGAACCGATAAACCACCTTTGTAAAGGATGCCAAAAACCTGGGGGGGTGCAGACGGATTGGGCAACAAATAGTTGGGTCAATTAGCATCATGGGAACTTCTCTTTTTCTGTCCTTGCTTGGGTGCTTTCGAAAGGATCCTTCAGCACTGACTCCAAATCCTGCCGGATTCCCATCTGTTGCATTAACGATCCTTAGCAAACCAGCTACTCTTCCACCTGATTCCTTACAATGCTTGGGATCGTAGGTCCGAGAAGTTCCAGTTGGCACGGTCAAAGGAATTCTGGGAAATGTAGTCCCAAGCAGTTGGAGGGAACCAGTTTGGGGAAAGTTGACTTAAGTTTCTGGTTTTGATGAAAGGATCCAGAATGAAGGGCCATATGTTTTTGTTGGTTGCAGGAAACCTCAAAGCCACAGAAGGCCGTGTGGATGGCCACAGCTTCTCTTCCCATCTTAACCTCTCTGCTGCAAGACGTCCCTGTTCCTGATCTGTATTAAGAAATATAAATTAAATAAATTGGGATTTGTACCTAGAGGCTTTGAAGTATGGGGTGGATGCAGGTCATTTTGACTGTTTGAAAAATATCTTCTTTCCCAGTTAGAGGGAAGTAAGATTAGGTGTTATTGGTGGATGGTCATCTTTGGATAGCAAGATGGGCAGCATCTTGTGAGGCCCAGGTGACGGTCTCAGTTGCTCCCCTGGTTGTTACCTCTTTTGTGGATGGTTGAAAGCCATGGAGATCTGTTCTTCAGGGAGATGTCAATATGCTCGGGGTCTCTTTGATTAGGAAGACAGGAAGGTTGCCATCTTCTCAAGGTAGATGAAGGTTGCCATCATCGCAAGGTAGGTGGCAACCAAAGCTGCTTCCACCTAAGGCCACACGTTGGTCAAAATGTTTCCTGCATAGATGATGCCGTATCTCTCAAGATACTGAACTCTTGGGGTGTCACCAGAATCACTAAGGAATTGGTCAGAGGTTCCACAACTCTTTGGAGCCAATTTGGGATTCTGAGAGTATTCTGTGAGCACTCTCACAAAATGGCTGTTTCGGTGAGTGTGACCAAACCCCAAACCTCCCATTTCCCTGAAGACAACCAAAATTATATTTTTTTTACTTTCTAAGAATGCCTCCAAGGTCTGTGAGGAGTTTAGAGACAAGATGGATATTCATGAAGCTTAGGAGCGCTCATTTTAATTGAAAGAATTGGAACAATCAAATTACATAAGTTACATAAGTCAGAGAGCTTGGTGAGTGTCGAGGACCATGCCAATAATCCCCAGGTACCCTGGTGAGGACCATACAGATGGACCCTTGTTACCCATAATAGCAATCAGTGATTGCTACCAGGATGTGATCTTAAATTTGGTATCTGGCACTGGGGAAATCGGGAGATTCAGGCTGTTCCAAATGGGTATAAAGATTTATTGCAACTTTAAGGTCTCTACGAGAATCTGAACTCCCAACAGGCCCAAGCAAATTGGTGGGAGATCAGAGTCAATGCACTTTTGTGGGTTTGAAGGGACTCGAGACTGATGACACGTTTGAAGCCTCCCTCGGGCTCAGCAGGTCATTTCCTACGGTTTGTCTCCTATTGTGGGAAGATGGATAGATCTGGCTCTTTCCCTCTCTGCAAAATTTCAAACACAAAATTGTGGATTTTCTACAGCGGTTCATTTGTTCGTTCATTCATTCAGCAAATGCATACGGCTGCCCAACTCACACCCAGTGCCATCAAATCGAGTCATTTGGGCAGAAATTTGAGTGGATGTTTGTAGGCATCAAAGCTTGCCTTTGTGAACATTTTTTTTTTTTGCTGTTGTTGTGATGGTGGTTAAATGCCTTTTTGTATATAATGTATGTAGGAATTGTGGGGATCACTTTCATCTGAGGCATGGTGTTTGATACATGCATTTTATCATTGGAAAATTCGGATCAGATATGTGTCATAGGTCAGGGTTTTACAAGTTGACATCATGAATGAAAGATCCTTTAATCTGGTTTCTGATTAGTTCAAGTGCAAATATATACCGGTATATTTATTTAGGCTCATAGGCCACTTCCATCATGGATGATTCTAAGCGGCGTACGGTAAACCAGAAAAATTAAATTAAGCTGAATTGTATAAGTGTGTATGCGTGTGTGTGTGTTTGTGTGTGTGTGTGTGTAGCATATGTATATGAATGTACATGTATGAGTATGGGTATATACATATACATGTATGTATGCATGCATGCATGTATATATGTATGTATGTGTGTGTTGTCTTTTGAGAGCAGGCATTAGAATTTCATTTTTTAACATGTGCTCGCTGTGTTCACAGACAAAAAGGTGACAATAAAGGTTATCTTATCTCAAACAATCACTGATTGCAGACTACCCCAAAGAGGAATGTCAGTTTAAAAAAAACCACAAGATGCCAACAACATCCTTTAAAAGGCTTTTTCACAGAGACAAAGCACCTCTTCAGAGTGTTAATCTGAACGATGGAAATAGACCACCCTTATGTTGCTTAAAATTGGGATCCAAAGGTGCCATGCTAGATTTTATCAAATGTGTAGAGTCTACTTGGAGAAGTTGGCCCTGAAGACAACCAGGTTCAGAGACATGTTAGGGTTTCAAAGAGGATAATCCACATCTTGAACTGTACATTGAAGTCAACTTGGAACAGGCCAGCCCTTAAGAGTGTGGAAAAACGGTCATAAGTCACTTTTTTCAGTGCTGTTGTAACTTTGAATGGTCACTAAATGAATTGGTGCAAGTGGAGGATCACCTGTACTTTCTCATTCTGGTAGATTATAGATACTTTGTAGTATATCCTTTTTTTTTAACTTGGGCAACCTAGGTTGAGAACTGATGTGTGAACTGTGCTATTACCATCCTCAAGGACCAAGGAATGGCAAAATGTGGCCTGGGGAGAAAGCAATACTGAAAAGAAGAGAAGGAATGGACCCCCCTTTATTGCTGAGGCCACAAGAAATCTTCTCCATCAGCCAACGTTTCTCCATCTTGAGAACTTTAGGATGTGTGGACTTCAACTCCTAGAATTCTCCAGCCAACAGAGCTTTTGAATTGAAGCCCAAACATTAACAGATTAACAAAGTTGAAAGAGATCTTGTAGGTCATCCAGTCCAACCCCCGGCCCAAGCATTTCTGACAGATGGCAGCCCAGTCTCTTCTTGAAAGCCTCCAGTGATGATGAAGCTCCCACAACTTCTGAAGGCAACTTCTGTTCCATGGGTTAATTCTTCTCACTGTCAGAAAATGTCTCCTTGTTTCCAGGTTAAATCTCTCCTTGATCAGTTTCCATCCATTATTCCTTGTCTGGCCCACAGATGTTTAGAAAATAACTTGACCCCTTCCTCCCTGTGGCAGCCCCTCAAAGATTGGAACACTGCTATCATGTCTCCCCTGGTCCTTCTTTTCACGAGACTAGCCATGTCCAGTTCCTGCAACCGTTCATTGTATGTTTTTGCCTTTCTTCTTAAGGTTAATCTTAAAGTTCTCAAGGTTGAGTAACACTACAGTAAGCCATTGTTGAAGTAAAGCCATACACCTTAACAGCAATCACACTTATACTTATATACTACTTCACAGTGCTTTACCGCCCTCTCTAAGTGGTTTATAGAGTCAGCCTATCACCCCCAACAATCCGGGTCCTCATTTTACCAACCTCGGAAGGATGGAA